ACTTAGTATATATAGAACAGAAATATTAAACTTTGAGTTATTTAATTTTATTTATTTTAGACAAATCATACACTAAAGTCTCTAAACAATTGTCACATAAGGCATAGTGATAATTAGTATGATTGTATAAATTTTAATTTTATCATACTTTCTGTCAAAAAAGCACATGATTCGAGATTTTAGTGTATGATTTGTCCAAAATAAATAAAATTAAATATCAAAGTTTAATATATTTCTGTTCTATGTATACTAAATTAGTTCTAACAATATTTATCATTTCCAGTCAATTTCATTCTGTTCTGTCTGTCCACTAACCACAGAATACTGAGAGGGTTGTCAACATGTCTTGCTACACTTCTGCACTTTAAGATCAAAAAAATTTTTTTTATAAATAATACTATTATTTTGATATACACTATCTTTATTCGTCTCCACAACACGTTATATATACATTTTACGACCGATATTAATTATATCAACGTTAATTAATATCATCAAAGCTGCGAGCTGACAGGTCTGAGCGCCGCCATATTAGAAATCTGAATTGAGTGCGTTCTAATTGGTTGCGTGCTGACGACGCTGACCAATAAGACATGCGTTACATTTTAGTGTACATTTTACGCGACATCCGAGAAAAATGATGATTTTTTAGATTTCTCGACTTTGGATGCATATATCTTGATTTATAAAGCACACAGAGCAAAAACAAGCATATTTTTCTTATGTAATTTGGGTACGCGCTTTCGATTGAGCCTATTACCAACTCAATCGGCCCAGCCGTTATTGAGATCCAATAATCTCGGCTCATCTGAACCTTCCGTCTCGTGTAAAGATACACGGTCGGTCTTGCCCTGCGCGTGAACTTTAACTGCGCGCGAGACACTACCGTGTCTCTTGATAAAAAAAAATAAATATACATTAAGTACAACTCATAGTCAATCTATAATAAAAAATTTAATTACATTCTTTTTTATTTTAATCTTACACGAGTGCTTAAATTTACTTAACAATTCAATTTGGTCCGTAAAATAGATGATTTCAAATTCCAATAGGATCAATGATATTTAATTTAGGTAGCAGCCATTATTCATCAACCTTTTCCTTAGAGCAGTATCTGCTGTAAAAGCGAAAACTCTTATTATCGCAATTTATTCATTATAGGTTAACAAAAAAAATTTAGTTAAAATTTACACTTACTAATTCTGAAAAATTAAACAAAGGTAAAACTGCCAAATTAGGGAATTCTACCCTAATGATCTTAATCATAACGTATGTTATTAAGGTCATTACCTTAAATAATATTTTAAAGATTTTAACTATTGGTCATTGTTTATTGAAAAGTTATTAACAAAAAAAGTTTTTTGAATAGAACGTAATTTTCTGACATTATTTAATAAAACGATTCAATAGATTCTTAGCAAATTTATTTATTTAAATTCAAAACAAAAAAAAACACTAACCATATCTAAAAAAGCAAAATATTATTTTTTATAACTTTATAGTATTTTATTGTACAATAAAATATATAATTTTTGAAAATATTGATTAGACATAATAAATTCTTAGACCTTAAATACTTTATTTTACTACAAATACCTTTTTACATAAGAAATTCCATAAATAATTGAAATTATAAGTTATATTAATAAATATATGTAAATGCATTGTAGAAGTATCGTAAAAGTATTCTGGAATTATTCAACTGACATGGGTTGAATAAAATTAAAATTTTTTTTAGGAGAAGGTGAAGAAGTTTTGTCTCTTCCTCATCTATGCATTCACACAATTCACCATGTTTAAATAAATAAATCTGCTAAGAATTCGTATTGAAACGTATTATTAAATATATATGGTATCAGAAAATTATGTATCCTCTATTCGGCTATTATACCCAAAATTATTTGGCTATTTTACCCAAAATTATACTAAAGCACTTATTTTTTATATCTTTGTCTTAAAAATTTACACAAAAATATCCTAAGAAATATCAACTGTTTAATATGTAATATCAACTATAACCAAATACTTTATGCAATGTATTAAGAAAATAGATCTATATGCCCGTTTAAAATAATTATATAGTATGTTTGAAAAATAACAGGATTTGTTTAAAATTTTTTTCTATAAGCACCATTCGCTGATAACACAGTTCGATAAAAAAATCACAAAACTGCCCTTTGAGATATCCCCTTTTATAGTTTTTTTTTTATGTTGAATACAATGCCGGTTTTAAAAATGCTCCATCATGTCACAATTTTTAGAAATTTCAAAGTTGTAAAAAAGGGCTATTTAACATATTTTACCATGTTATAACTATGATATGCGACGTGTTAGAAAAGTTTCTTTTTTTTTTAATAAAGTATATTACTAGAATTTTTAACTTTCAAAAAGAATTTTTTGTATACATTACAATTAACAAGATTTTGACGATTAAATATTGTGTTTGTTATATCACAGGTGGATTATAAATGAAACTAAGAACTGCCAATAATTCACTGAATATTTTCAATTTTTGTGGAATATACACAATGATTTTTGAGATTGCTAACTATGAATGTGTCAAAACTAATAAAATGACAAATTTAACATAATAAATGTCAAAATGATAAACAGTTGTAATTGTTGTGAAAATTCGTATTTATGAATTGTCGACGTTACTGAATACGAATCTATTCACTAAATTTGTCAATTTTGACATCAGATTCATATTCAGCAATCTCGAATCATCATGTTGAATTTGTTAATTTTTAAATCAAATTTGTATTCGTAAAAATTCTACTGACCAATCGCTTACGTCTTACAATTCAAAAGAACTTTATCTATACATCGCGCGACGTGATTTCCATTGTTATCGCGGAATATTATAAATACAGCTTTTCTACAAGTTCGTTACGTTACAAGGTTTTTTGCTAGTCCTGCTTTTCTCACGATTACTCGCAGTTGCATTTTGCCGATCTTAGAGTATTTTACACTCTTATAAAAATGACTATTGCATATATTATAAATACATCTTTTTTATATGTGCAATAAATTGACTATTGATAACATCTAAAAATGTGTGTTATCTCTGTGTGTGTGGGTGGGGGGGGGGAAGGCGCGTGTGTGTGGGCACACGTGTAGTGATTGTTTTGTAGAGACTAGTGCATTTGATCTGCGCATTTTTTAGTTACAAACAACTTCAAAAATATTATTACGAATTAACTTGTTTCTATTTTGTAGATATTTTATATATTATGTTTCATACAATGACATATTTTAAAATAAAACTGATAAAAAGTAGAAATATAATTTTACTTTAAACGGATATTAGAATTATATGTATGAAAATATTCTACATAAAATCAATTTTAAATATTTATCACAATAGCATTGCATAATATATTTTTACCTATACAGCATGCATATCCGGAGGATGTTCAGAGAACATCCTGAAGATATCGTATCTCTCAAAGGTATCTTTGGGATGTCTTCTGGATATCTTTTGGATATGTGTGCTGTATGGGTATGATAATTGACATTGTGTACATTACAATTAACATATAATAAATGATATTTTTATAAAACAAAAGATAGATACTTACTAATATAGTACTGTAGGAACTAAGACAATTACGACGGAAAACATAGTGCAAACCATGGCAGTCGATAAGATCATTGCATCGCTCATTGTAGTACTTATTCCGTTCGGCATTGCCGTGATTTTCTATATTAAAAAAATATAAAATATTATATTTTAATTATAAAAAGTATCAAAATATAGTATCAGAGAGAGTAATATACAGGGTCTCTGGCAGAGATTACCCTCTTGTGAGTGGATGGAGTGCAATAAACTGAATAAGAAAGTCCTTTATCTTTTGCAATTTTCACAATAATTATTGAAACAATAATTAAAAAGAACTGACAAATAAGCGCGCGTTTTGCGCGGCTAAACTGTAGAATATACGCTTTTGGCGTGACAGCGGCGAGTCTCGCACGGCAACAATTTAATCGCTCGGTGAAGACAAAAGTAACACGTGAGCAGCGAGCGGACAGAAGCTTTATTTTTCATTGCCGTGCGATATTCACCACTGACACGTCTAAAGCATACATCTCATAGTCTTGCCGCGCAAATCGCGTGCTAATTTGCTAATCTTTTTTAATTATTATCTCAATAATTATTGCGAAAAATGCAAAACAATAAAGAACTTTCTTGTTCAGTTTATTGCGCTCTACCCATTTACAAAAGTTCTGTGATCTCTCCCAGGTACCCTGAGAGAGGAGCCTTTTTTTAAAATTCTTATCTTACAAGTGTCACTTAAAACCAAAATTTTTGCCATAAAAGGCATATCACATTTAAAATTTAATAATAAAACAAAAAATGCGGTTAATTTATTAACAGAAAAAAACAAACAACACAAATAATAAACACAAGCAGTTTTATAAAATCGCTTCGAGTATTATAATAAATTATACATATGTTATATATTTTACTACTACTACATATAATAATCTTATATACTAATAATAATATAGTTTTTTTACTGTTGCAGATTAATTTTGATATTGTGTCTTATCTTTTTAATGATATTTAATAATATTTATATTATCTTTTAAATATAAATATGACATTTTAGCGTTATGCATTTAAAACATATTTTTCGTATATAACTTATATTACATTTTAAGATATAACAAATATAGTTATAGTTCAATAAACATTAACATACATAAATATATTGTGATTTACATACAACGTACAATCACAGCAGTATATGTATATTTTTAACTTTTTTCAAAAGTATATATCAATAAAAAGTTATTAATATCTATTTTACTTTAATAAAAGTAGTATTATATAAAAAACACTATACGAAGAATAAGCATAAAAGTATAGATAGCATAAGCATAAAACAGCATAAACTCGTTATTTTCCAAATAATTTTTTATAAAAGAAAAAACTGTAAAATATGTATTAGTTTATTTTTATTAAAGTATATGTTTTGCTTATATTTGCATTAGTAAAATACTGGAAGAAAAGAGATAAAGTAGTATTTTGATAAGAGGTCGAATTGATAGAAATGTGTAAATTTCCATTTAGACATATTTTACACACATAAAACTTAAATGAATTAATTGCAAATTCCAATCCCCACCCTCCCTCCCACTTTATTGATAATGCTAATCTCTCTTAATATTATCTAAAGATTATCAACTAGTCACTTTGGAATAGATTTAATTCAAACATGCAATTAGATTCTAAAATATTCTTTTTTCGTACAATTTTTTAAAATTAATATAAATATATTTGATTAAATATAATGTAAATAAAAAATATTATATAAAGTATACAAGGAAATTTAATATATACGACAATTTAACTTACTATGTATAATGCACAAAAATGCACAAATTAAAATTTACTGTATAATTATTACATAAATGATTCTTTAATTACGTATATTGTTTATATTATACTATAGAAAGCGTTTCAGAATTTAAAGATTAAAAAAAGACATTTTGCGTTTCATAACATCAAATTGTCATCAAATTGTCATTGAGAGACCAAAGTAATTGTGTCTATTAAAAAATAAATTAAAGGGGAAAATAGCATTTTTTCATACAATTTTTTATTCAGGCTATTTTTTATTCTTTATTTTTGAAAAAATTTATCTCAAAAAGTTGAAAAGTATTAATATTGCAATATATACATATCAATAATAAAAATTTTTTTTAGTTAATAAATTAATCGTTTTCTGTTTTATTATTAAATTTTAAATGTGATATGCCTTTTATGACAAAAATTTGGGTTTTAAGTGACACTTACAAAATAAGTATTTTTTTAAAATTGTAATACTTTAATTTTTACTTTAAAAAAATTCTTTTAATCTGAGAAATGAGTCAAACTTAAAAATATTTTTAATACTGACTTGATAACCTTTTTAATTAGCAAGTTGACCGTATTCTTTGTTTTATTATGAATATTAAATATAAGTTTTTTGAAAAAATACCGCTGAAAAATTTAAATACTAATTAGTACATCATAGTCATTTAATTATCTAAACTTAAAAATACAAAAATTTTATTAATTTTAAAATTTTTGAAATTTTTTTTTTTAATAAAACTTTATTTAAAAAAATGTTATTCCAACTATTATTAATATTATTACGATAACCAAGCTTAGAGCTAGAATATCAGTTATATGGCAAATACCTCAATTATTTGTGCGTGGCAATGACGATAAAGGAAACAGAATAGCAGCAATAAAACCCGTAAAAACATTTTCATTTTACACGCTGTAAACGACTGACAAATGTGACATCTCTTTACCTGCAACGTAGCATTACTCTGTCCCAACTTATTCTTAGCGGCGATAACGCGTATGATTGACAGATTGTCTTTGTTTGTCCACTTTTATCATTTTATTAAAATTCTGCTAAAGCTTATCTTATAAGCTAGGTAAGTTAATCTTATCTGTCATGTTGAACGTATAGCAACTACATGCACTTTAAGCAGGCGCGAACAGAAGCAGGTTTCTATTTTCAGATACTAATATAGGAAATATTATTTTTGATTTTTGTCTTTCCAAAACTTTTATAAATTTAAAACAAATATTTATTAATTATTAACACAAAATTAATGATAATTATATTATTATATATATATCAATATTATATATACAATACATATAATACATATATATATATATATATATATGTACATATAATATTGATATACGCGCGCGCGTGTGTGTGTATGTGTGTGTTATGTCTGCAAAATAAAATGAGCAAAGCTAAAATAAATTTTATTTTAAACATTATTATTGCAAGTATGAGCAATGCAATAATTATTATTCTTGCATTGCTCATACTTACTACCCAAACAGCATTGAAAATTCCACTTATGTTCCAGGAACATTACAGTTTCTCATTTTCATAACGTCGTAATATTGTTTCAAATTTTAGGTAACAGTTGTATACCATTTAAAATCATTACAAAAGTTATATTTTTGTAATATACCAGAAATGCAACAATTATCGGTTCCATGTTCAATGGTATCAGAGACGTTCCTGCAAATTATATATCTGATATGTTTCACAAGTTTCAAAGCAGGTATATAACATTTGCAATTGCATTGAGATTATTGAAAAAATTTTGCTCTGTTTGTAGATGATTCGTAGCAGGAATATTATAATTGTATTCTTATGTGATGTACCAGGACACTTCCAGAAACATACCCATACAGCACAGAACTTTGCAATTACATTGCAGCAATGTTACAATCTTGCAAGTTGCAATGTAATATTGTTGAGACATTGTTAGAACATGTAATTGTAATATTTCATGTGTTACGGCATTTGTGTGACCTGGTGTACACCTGGTCACAGAAATGCCTTAACACATAAACTTGCACGGGTGTCAAGGCATATCGAATCGGCGTGTTCCGACTCTACATATTTTTACATCATGACTGTGGTTATGAACACAGCGGCAAAGCTGTTTGACTGTTTCAAAGCAATTGGAGCAATTGACAAATAAAGGTTAATATTTATAATATTTATATTTATATCAATATTTATTGATAATGGAAAAGAGTTAATATATATACTGAATGATGAAGAAAAGTGTAATTATTTATCAAAATAAGAGAAACTTATATAAAACAATTAACAGATTTAAAAGTATTAGCATAATAATAAGAAAAAAATAAGTAATATTTTGATTTAATAATATCTGTGATTTATTTAAACGAATATTTTTTTATTTACATAAGAAGTTTCTAAATTTTCAGCAAATTCTTTGACTACACGACAATCACATGCTAATACTTTCAAATCTGTTAATTGCTTTATATAAGTTCCTATTATTTTGATAAATAATTATACTTTTCTTTATCATTTAATATATCCCACATAGCAAAGATCTCCCCAGGACATCCCAATTTGATCGAAATGGTCCCAGTTTGATCCAGAATAAAACGTTATCCGTAGGATTACCTGATATCCCGTGTAGCATGTCCTGTGGATATCTTATGTACGATCTCCGCAGGACATCCCATTTTGATCGAAATGATCCGAACGATACAGATCGATAATAAATAGTTATTCGTAGGATTTCCTGAAGATATTTCTAGTACAAAAATATACGTTCATTAAAATTGCTGTTTCTTTAAATTTAGTAAAAGATTTCTTACATAAATATTTTTTAGTAAGACATTTTTTTTTCTTAATTTGAACAGAGAACAAATTTAATTTTGTGTGCATGCGTAGACACACATATAACATACAAATATAATTTTAATCCGTCCATTTGTTAAGATCAAAGTACAAGTATATATAGAGAAAGTATTTATTTCTATTATATGACAATACTAGAACTTGGTCATCGAGTTCTTGGTTCGAGAAGCCAGTATATACAGTGATGGGAGAAAGTTCCGTAACGGTCAAATATCTTAGAAAATAATGATTATGGAAGAAAATGTTCAATACAAAAGTTTTAGTATATCAAGTGGTCTATTATATGGTTATATTGAAATAACCTTCATGTAACCTTGAAGGACACCGCGAAGGTCAACTTTGAAATCTTAAATGGAAACTCCTATTTTCTATTACATATTGTTAAAGCTGATGTCAAGACATTTCCGAAACAATATAATGAAGTTATTTTTTATTAAGTACTTTTCGAGTTATGAGGCTTGAAAGTTACAGCATTTTGACATAAAATACAAAATATCTTGTAAAACATTCAATTTTCGGGAATCTTACCTTAATACTTAATACTTAATACTTTATGCATAAAATAATGAGACGAATCAATTGATATAAAAAAACACATAGTTGCTTTTAAAAAAAAATATGCAGCTGCATGTTGCAAATTATATATTTTTTTTTAAAAGATCATCTAGCGTTACGCGCCGCTCGTATGTTGCCATTGTCATTTGTAGAGCGCTCCTCCCAACGCTTCATCGCGCGCCTAGTGATCGCATAGCAGTGGGATGTCCTTCTCGCTGCGCGCGCTTTACTTGCACGGATTCACCAATCTTTTTTCGTTAATTACTTAGTACTTATTACAAAAATCAAAAAATGGTAAAGGACTTTTCTACTCGATTTGACCTCCTCTACCTGTAATATGACCGGTGGGCGATTATTGCCAGACACCCTGTATATATACACACAATACGCATATATGCGCAATATGTACAATTTTTGCTAGTTTTTACATGAACTAAGCTATTACTAATTCGTGTAAAACTAGCAAGAATTGTACATGTATATTATTGTGACATATTACATTATTAAAGATTTATGTATATTTCTAATTTTCTTAAAATCAATTTTACTTTTTACTTACTTTATAAATATAAAACAATAATATAGCATATAAAAGATTAATTGCATTACATTGAAAAATAAAAAAATAAAGGCCTGTTTCACAATGCCAGGCAACAGGAAATAATCTTAGAAAGAAAGAGAAAAAAGATCTCTCTTTTTCAAAGTTATTTTTTGTTTCTATTCTTGTTGCCTGGCATTGTGATAGGTCTAATAATTAATAAGATTATATAATGTCATTATAAAATATACATATATATGAAATAACTAAATTATTCTGTAGAAAGATAAAATTGATAGGCAATTTATAATTTGTCTGGTATACATTTTTTCTTTATGAATTTAAAAGTTACAATTTTATCGTTTAATTAAGAAGCTAAAAAATAATTTTTTTTCTAAGAAAATTACAAAAGATGGAAAGATACAAAAATAAACGCAAACGGCTAGATGAAATGTCAAGTAGACATTTGAGAAGACTCGTGCAAACTGAAATTAATTTGCTAGAATTTGGAGATCAAGAAAGACTATCTAACATGTGTACATTGCCAAGTACAAGTGCTAATACATCATCTTGTGTGAATGAATCTGACCATCGTAGAGAGATTGCATACAATAGAACTAGAAATAACAATTTTGACGTATTCGACATGTTACATGAATCAAATGAATTAAGTGACAATGTTGACATATTCGACATGTTACATGAATCAAATGAATTAAATGACTCAAATGAATCAAATAACTCTAATGAATCAAATAAAATAAAAAATGACGTAGATTATTTAATTAATTTAAATATTGAAAATGTAGAAAAAAAGAAAAATTTTAAATCTTTATTACGTGACTGGGCTGTAACTAACAATGTTAATCATGTAGCATTAAGTGAACTTATTAAAATTCTTCGTGGTCATGAATGCTTTTCTAATTTACCAGTTGATCCTAGAACTTTATTGAGTACGCCAAAAAACACCGATATCAAAACTGTTTTACCTAGTTTATATTCTCATTTTGGAGCTCGTATTGCATTAGAGATATATTTTAGAAATTATTATCATAGATTTAATAATATAAATACTATAGATTTGGGAATTAATATCGATGGGTTACCTCTATCAAAATCTTCAACATCATCATTATGGCCAATCTTAGGATGTGTTTTACCATATAAAGAAGTTTTTATAATTGGTGCATATTATAGCTCTAAGAAACCAACAAACTGTAATAAATTTTTACAAAATTTTATTGAAGAAATAACAGACTTAATAAATAATGGAATTTTTCTGTGTGAGAAATTTAACAACATTAAAATTAAACAAATTTTATGCGATGCTCCTGCAAAATCTTTTATATTAAATATAAAAGGTCACAATGGTTACTTTAGTTGCACAAAATGTAGAGTTGAAGGTGAATATAGAAACAGACGTATTTGTTTTGCAGATATTCATGCTACAAAAAGAACAAATGAGGATTTCTTAAATGAAACAGATGAGAATTTTCATTTAGGCTCTACTAATTTAAAACAGATACCAGGATTAGATTTTATAGAAAATATTCCTTTAGATTACATGCATTTACTTTGCCTTGGAATTATGAGAAAATGCTTATATATGTGGACAGCTGGTGACTTAGAAATTCGTTTACAACATCACAAATGTCAAACAATATCAAACAATTTAGAAACTTTTAAACGGACTATACCAGTTGAATTTTGTAGAAAACCAAGATCTTTGGATTTTTTGAAACAATGGAAAGCAACTGAATATAGGCAAATTTTATTATATACAGGCCCTGTTGTTTTTCAAGGAATACTTCCAAACGATTTATATCATCACTTTTTAACACTTCATGTAGCTATTAGAATTTTATGCTGTAAAAGTTTATGTGAGGATTATTTGAATTATGCTGAAGAATTATTAATTCATTATGTTAATAGTTTTAAAATTTTTGTATGGAGAATACAATGTTTCTCATAATGTTCATGGTTTGATTCATTTATGCGATGATGTTCGAATACATGGCACTTTAGATTCATTTAGTGCTTTCAAATATGAGAATTTTTTACAAAAATAAAAAAGAAATTTGCAAAGCTGATAAACCATTACACAATTACATAGAAGATACATGGAAAAAAATAATGCTACATGTAATAAAATTTTGGCACACGAAAAAAGTTCTGATATACAATTACGCAATAAACATTATAATGGTCCACTTATTCACGACTGCATAAATCTACAGTATAAAATTATCAGTATTTCACAGTATACAATAAAAGTGTATGACAATGCTAATAATTGTTGTTTTATGAAAGATAAAAGTATCATAAAAATTGAAAATATTGCATATTGTAACACAAGAAAATGCTTAGTTGCTATCGGCAAAAAATTTATAATTAAGGAAGATTTGTTTCATATTCCATGCTTATCATCATTACTTCAAATTTATATAGTTAGTAATTTGTCTGAATTATGTACATGGCCCATATCGAATATCAACAAGAAAATGTTAATAATCCCACACTTAAACGATACATTTGTCGTTGTACCATTATTGCATATTGAATAATTAATAAATGATAATTTATATTAAATGTACATAAATATGTGTTGTATATGATATTATATTAATATTACTTAGTATGTATATGTATATGCTATTGCATGCTATTGCATTATAATATTACTTGGTACATATATTGTAGGGATATTACATGTAATATATTAATTGTGATAAGTTGAGAAAGAGAGGCGTTTCGACAAAGAAATAAACAATTAGGAAAACACAAGGCTCGGGGAAGCATCCGCACATAATAAAGGCAAAATTATAAAGGAGAAAAAACGACGAGAGCGAAGTGCAGTCGTTCTCAAGCGTGTTTATAAGGAAAATAAAAAAATAATGTTTTAATAAAATGATAATTGCCTAATGATTAAGGGTTGATTTAAAGATGATTTTTTTAATTGTAAAATGTTCATCAATAATACATCTGTAGGAAGATAATGTAGGAATATAGTGTTAGAACATAATCTAATAAGTATAGGAGAGTTGTGTTTTCGTGGCGATGATCGAGACAATAGCGATCGACCAAAACACGACGTCAAGACGTGTCCGGGCATCGGCGGCCGTTGGCCAGCAAGACGAGCGAGCGAGAGCAGCTCGCGTGAATCGCCAGAGAAGAGCAGAAAGTCGTTTACCACGGAACAGATCGGTAATCAAGTTGTACACATACTATCGTGTGTTAATATATCTATCCTGACATTATTATTTTATTTTATATTAATTGGGAAACCTTTCACCAATTTCCCTTACACATCAATAATTTTCAAGTTATAAGTAATTTAAAAAAGAATTTTTTTTGTAAACTAAACTTTGTGAAGTTAAAAAAGTAACATCATTATATTCTTTAGTTAATTTTAAGTGAAATTTACTTTAATAAAATTTGAATTTAAGGCTTAGATACAAAGTTACGTAATGATAAAAACTAGAAGTTTGAAAAAATAATCTTTTATGACATTTTCCATGAAGAAAAATTGTCTCTAAATTTGTCAAAATAATCTATCTTTTATCATTAGAGTGATTATTACCAGACACTGTGGTACAGGGTAATATATTTACAATTGGCAATATTATTCGTAATTTATATTAAATGTTATAAATTTCTTCACTATTTTTAGATACTTAAAATACAGGCAACAATCAAAATAAATAATAAGTATTACATTGTCGAATTTGAAGATGGTCTTTGTTGTGTATAACGTTAGCACACAGTGCCGCGTGGGCGTGGAAGTGAGGAATACACTCAGTATAACAACAATATGAGCTTTAATGCAAATCGTGGTGATTAGTACAACCTGTATGCATCTCTCAAACTCAGAGAGAGTTTCCCCGCAAGAAGGTAGGTGTACGCAGACGCCAGCGCTGTCACGCGGTCTCTTCCTTAAGGCCTATCCGCATGAGCCATTGCGAGGCTGGCACGCGACGCAGTGGCGCGTTATATGAACGGCCACACAACACTCCCCTCACTTAGAAATTTGAGACTCGTTGACCTCAAAATCTTGTAAATACCTTGGAGCGCGAATTTGCCGTTTCGGACGAAGCGCTCCCTTAATTGGGGGTGTTGTATCCTTCGCTTCAGGAGTTCTAGGAGGACTAGTGGAAGAAAGTGGTTTAGGAGTAGAAGCATACCAGGATCCTTGGGGCGTAGAGAAAATTGGAGAACCGGCTTCAGAAGCCGTAAGCGTAGAGTAAGAAGGACCTGGCGATGTAGGTGTAGAGTTGTCGCTTGTATTAACTAACGTATGACTAGGACTGTTAGTTGAAGTATGCACTTGGGAAGGACTCGCATTTACAATTGTCCCTTCGCTCGTATTTTCGTTTACATTAGTTGCACGATTAGTATTGTAGTTCGCGTTATCACAATTATTCGGCGGACTAGTATCGTAGGAATCACAGTAATAATCACTGAAATCTTTATTACTGTTCTTAAGTGTATCGTCACCTATCGGACGCATTTGGTTAATGTGCCTTTTCCAGACACGACCGTCGTCTAGGCGTATTTTGAAATGTAGATCACCTAATTGTTCAATAACCGTACCGAATAACCATTTAATTTTATTGATGTAATTTCGACAACTTACTCTTTTTCCCACCGTAAATTTAAAAGGACGTTCAAAATGAATCGTATGTTTTGTACTTGACGGACGTAACAAATCGAATTTTGTACGTATTTTTCTCGAAAATAATAACTCTGCTGGAGCTTTTCCCGTTGCAATGTGTGGAGTATTGCGATATTGAAAAAGTAGTGTTTGTAAATTAATATGCGTATTCGCGTGTGTAGATTGCATTTTTCTTAAAGAATTTTTAAGAATCTGAACGTAACGCTTGGCTTGTCCGTTTGTCGCAGGGTGATGTGGTGCAGTGTATTTAGCAATAATACCGTGTGAATTAAGAAAATTTTTAAATTCCTTTGATGTAAAGGCAGTACCATTATCGGATACAATGTATTTCGGTAAACCGTACGTATAAAATATTTGTCTACAAATATTAATCATAGTTTTTGCTGTAATATCTCTAACGATATGTATTTCTGGCCACTTGGTGTACGAATCAATCAGTATGAAAAAGTGATGTCCTAAAAATGGACCTGCAAAATCAACGTGTACTCTTTCGAAAGGAGATTGAGCTGGTTCCCACACGTGATTTGAAACTTTAGGTGGATTGTTTCTATGTGAATTACAATTATGACAGTTTTGCGTTAACTTTTCTATATCGTTGTCAATTTTGTTCCACCAAACGTAACCTCTTGCGAGATTTTTCATTTTAATCATACCAAAATGATCTAAATGCAATTCATGTAGTATTTTCTTTTGTAGATTAACTGGAATGACAACTCTGTGTCCTTGAAAAATAACACCGTGTAGTAAAGAAAATTCTTCGTAAGGAATTGTATAGAATTTATTGTTTTTAGAATTTGTGTTAGCATTGGAATATGTAGTTAGGAATTTTAGTAATTTGGATAATTCTTTATCCTCTTTTGTAGCTGTAGCAACTTGTATTGCCGTAATAGGCAATGTATCGAACGTAGCTTGTTGGAATTCATCTATTGCTTTGCATTCAATTTCTTCAATAGTTTGCGGTATTGGTAATCTCGACAAGCAATCTGCATTAGAATGTAATTCTGATTTCCTGTATTTAATTTTGTAACGAAAACTCTGTAATGTTAATGCGTAATGCTGCATGCGCATAGCCGTGTAAATCGGTAAACCCTTGGTCGGTGAAAAAATTTGTGTAAGTGGACGATGGTCCGTAACGAGTGTAAACTCTGTACCTTGTAAGAATTGATGAAACTTTTTAATACCGAACATAATAGCTAAAGCTTCTTTATCAATTTGAGAATATGATCGTTGAGTCTTTGAAAGCGTTTGAGATGCGTATTGAATGGCTCTTTCCGAACCGTCTGGATAAACATGAGAGAGAACTGCTCCCATACCGTAAGGACTTGCATCTGTAGCTAATGTAATTGGTAATCTAGGATCAAAATGAGCTAAGCATTTCGGGTTTGTAAATGCTCGTTTTGCTGCTTGAAAACTTTTCTCGCAGTCTTCTGACCAGTGAAATTTAACGTTTTTTTGTAAGAGATTATTTAATGGTTGTAAAATAGCACTTACGTTTAGAATAAATCTATCGTAGTACCGTATCATGCCCAGAAAACTTCGTAATTCAGTTAAATTTGTAGGTTGGGGCATTTTTGAAATTGCATCAATTTTATCCGGAGCTTTGTGAATACCGTTTTTATCTATCACGTATCCGCAATATTGAATTTGATCCGTAAGGAATTCACTTTTCTTCACGTTAATTTGTATGTTGTATTTCTGTAGTCGCGTAAAAATCTGACGTAATTTACTTAAATGATCTTGTACGTCTTTACTTGAGACTCTAATATCATCTAGAAAAACGACTACTCCTGGAATATCTTTAAGAATATTTTCTATAATACGTTGCCATATTGCAGGAGCGGATGCGACTCCGTACATTAAACGTGTTGGTCTGTATAGACCTTTATGTGTATTTAAAGTAAGTAATTCACGGTCCTGTGGTCTAACCTCAAGTTGTAAATAAGCTTGTAAGAGGTCAATTTTTGAAAAGACTTTTCCTCCCGCCATCTGCGTAAGAAGTTCGTCTGGTGTAGGTAGAGGATGCGAATCTATATTTAAATTGGGGTTAAGCGAGACGCTGTAGTCCCCGCAAATGCGAATTGTTCCGTTTTTCTTAATAACGGGTACAATAGGTGTGACCCATTCTGAGAAATCCACTTTCTCAAGAATACCGTTTTGCGTGAGTGCTTCTAATTCCTTTTCAATCTGGTTTCGTAAACGGAAGGGCACAGGACGCTGCTTATGAAATACCGGATTTGTATTGCGCTTAACATTTAACCGCGCTTGTACATTCGTAATTTTCGCAATAGACGGACTTGTAATACTATTAAATTCATTTAACAGTGCTTGTAGTCGCGCATTATCGCCAGCAGTAATTTGCTTAATTGATTGTAATTTATTCGTTAACTTTTGTAGATCCTTAATCTGATTAAGTTGCGATATCCACTCACGGCCTAATAGAGGTTCCTTGTCTATTTCGACGATGTATAAGTGTAACTTCTGAAAACGATTACCATTCTTGACTCGAACTTTTATGTAACCGCGTAATGGAATAGGCGTGCGTGTGTAAGAAACAAGATTCAAATCTGTAGTGAATACGCGTTCGCCTTTGAATAACCTTTTTGCATCGGTTAACGACATTAAAGTAACGGCTGATCCGCTATCAACCTCGAAACGTACGTCTTTATTATTAACATTTAATGTAGTGAAAAACTTTTTCCTAAAATGCGATTGTTCGATCGCGAGTACTTCCGTATTCTTTGTATTGTTTCCGCGGGACGATTTGCAGACTTTTCTAAGATGTCCCAACTTTCCGCATAAGAGGCACTTCGTATTTCTATTAAGTGTACATGCCGACGCGTAATGGCTTCCGCCGCAACGATAACACGTAACCGACATTCCGCGCGCGCCATTTTTTTTAATGTTATTTTTCAATTTCGCGTTCCCGTGCTTTTTAGACTTATCTGTAGATGCCATTGTTTTTCCCGTGCAGACTGCCAAGGTGGTCTCCTCGCCTTGTAATTGTTTCGTCCCCTTCTCCGACAATTCCATTGTCGTAGCGATTTGTATGGCCTTTTCCAGTGTGAGGTCCGTAGTTTCTAGCAATCGTTGTTGTATTCTTTTATTTTTGAGTCCGAATATGAAAAAGTTGCGTAGGGCTTTCGTGACGTAATTGCCCATGTCGCAATTCAAGGATAGCTTTTGTAAAGCTGCGGCAAAATCCTGTATTGATTCGCCGTCCTGCTGCTTCCTTTGCATTAATTTGAAATTTTCCGATACTTCTAACGGTTTTGGCTCGTAGAAGTTCGATAACGTCTCTGTAATGACGTTGTATGTTTGCTGATATGGGTCCTTTGTACCAAGTCGGTCGGCTAAAATATTATACGCCGCCGAACCAATGTAGTGTAGCAGGAAGGGAACACGTTTTTCTTCCTTTACCTCGAATAATTTGAAAGATCCTTCCAATCGTTTCAGCCACCTCGTCCATAAGCCTTGGACTGGATCGAATGGCTCGATCGTAAATGTGCTTGGAATCATGGCGGATTATTGTATAGCGTAACCAGTAATGTTATGCGTACACAGTTTCTTGCAATTAAATTGCGATCACCACTTGTTGCGTATAACGTAATAGCTGCCACGTACGTGCAACGTGCTTGTACTTGCACGATATTTGCCACCCTCCTCGGCGCAAAATTTCTCAATCCTCGTCGCCAAGTTGTTGTGTATAACGTTAGCACACAGTGCCGCGTGGGCGTGGAAGTGAGGAATACACTCAGTATAACAACAATATGAGCTTTAATGCAAATCGTGGTGATTAGTACAACCTGTATGCATCTCTCAAACTCAGAGAGAGTTTCCCCGCAAGAAGGTAGGTGTACGCAGACGCCAGCGCTGTCACGCGGTCTCTTCCTTAAGGCCTATCCGCATGAGCCATTGCGAGGCTGGCACGCGACGCAGTGGCGCGTTATATGAACGGCCACACAACAGTCTTCAAATTGTACCTAACAATTGGTTTACTTGTAAAAAAAAATCCGCAATATATTGGCCAAATGTAACAAATCAGAAAGAATATGATAAAGCAGTTGAAAAAATGAAAGATTTTAATAATAATAATTCAACAATAATATCTGTTAAAAGAATATTTACAAGTACAGGTAAGTTAAACTTTTGTTGCGGAAATCTTTATTTACAATTTTAAAAGTAATATTTTTAATTGTTATCTTTTTCAGATACTTTTATTAAAGCAAAAGAGAAATTAAAATTAGCCAAAAAATTATCAGATTTAAATTCAGATGAAGATACAGAAGTTTTAAAAAATAGAAGAAGATTCTATGCAGCAAAAGTTTTTTCATCATCAAGTAGCGAAAAAAGAAATTCAAAATCCTATGAAAAAAAGGAAAATAGATACTTATCCACAAGTACCACAAATTTCGAAGAATTCTAAATTACGTCATGAAAATAAAAATAAAGAAAACTTTTCATCAGCACAGGAAAATGAAATGCAGCACATGAGTTCTCAATATTCTAATTTTTCTTCAGGTATTTATCACATAAATTAATAAAGATATGTACTATGTTCTGACTTTAATACTGTGATTTAGATAAATAGCACAATACTTTTTATAATTATATATATTTTTATTATTACATTTTTTGTTATTTTAGATAATTATCCAAAAGCATCCCAAATGTTAAAAATTCTACAATACGTCATCAAGTACTCGAAAATAAAAAACTTTTTATCAGAAGAAGAAGATAAAATGCTCATGAGTTCACAAAATTCTAATTTTTCTTTAGGTATTTATCACATAAATTAATAAAGATATCTATTATATTCTGACTTTAATATTTTGATTTAGATAAATAACACGATACTTTATATTCACGATTCTTCTTCAGATACTTATATAAAAAGTTAAAATGTTGTGTGTGTGTGTGTGTGTGTGTATGTGTGTGTATAACATCTTAACATATTTTTTTTTTTAAATGTCTAATAAAGATAATTTTAAAATAAAACAAATTACTGTTTTAAAAGAAACGAGATGAAA